CGGGGGGCTCGAACCCTTGAACTCCCGCACAACACAGTCCGGACAAAGAAAAAATTCTGAGTCCCCAAGAAGAATCAAACCTCAGACCTTCCAATTCCATGCTCTGATGCTCTACCACTCAGAGCCACAGAGACTCTAAGGTGAGCAAGGCCCATTAAGAAGTCCATCCGTGTGACTAGATGAAAAACATCTTTCTATGTTTCTTCACCAAGCTCAAAACTTACCATTTTTCTTAATATTCTTTACAAAACATGATGCTTTCGATATTGCAGATCCTAGCAGTATGTATGATGCATGTCAAATATGAACTTTGTAATGGGCCTTGCTCGCCATAGAGTCTCTGTGGCTCAATGGTAGAGCATCGGAGCACAGAATCCAAAGGTCTGAGGTTCACTTCCTCTTGGGTACTCAAAACTTTTTTGTGTGTGTGTGTGTTTTTTTTTTATCACATACTCATGACTAGAAGAAAAACATCTTTCTATACCTTCTTAATGTTATTAACAATTTACTCCTACCATCAGTATGCATATTCTCCATACTGTTCTCTATACATTTCCTTGGCTGCTGACAAAGAGAATTTGTCCAATAATCAAAAGCTTCTTTAGCTGGTGATCATTTCCTTTATTCTTGTAACCTTAATGTGTGATTCAGCGGTGATATCATAAGGAAAAACTAGTCTAACGGTTAAGGTAAAGAGACTACTTGCCCTTGGACCAGTCTCTGGTTCCGCAACAGCTTCAGCTTTCCGTCTCATCTGCTCCAGTCCCATGTGAAGATTCAAGTACATGACCATTGGTGTTTCTTTTGAGATATATGCATCAACAGGGCCAGAGATTTGAATGTGGTTATGGAGAACACAGTGTTAAATGTAATGCAAATCTGACTGTGCAAATAATTGAAAGTAGTGAATACAAATACCCCTATTTTTCTAACTTGCTGATTATGGTCTAACGTCAGATAAACATTTTTATGCAATACTATGACTGCTCTGTTGTTTTCTTTCATAAAAATTGCTTCTTTCTTGCAGGTTGCCTCAGATTGTTTGCCATGATATATAAATAAATAACTACATATTAAATTGAAGCTCCCCCTTAAGGGCTTTTCAGCCACAATGTAAACAAACTAAGTGCTTAAAAATCCCCACTGGCAGGAGGCAGACCAGTGGGCTATTTACAGAGCGCAGCCGAGGAGTTGAACCAGGGGCAACCGAGAACAAATCCAGTGAGTGGCAGGGTGGAGGACTTGAACCCAGGACACCGGATTACAAGTCCAGCACCCTAACCACTCGACCACGCCACCTCCTCATATATCCTTTTTTAAAGACAAAATGAAGTGGCTGAGATATTCCCTCCTTTGTTCTGTTGGAAAGTGTTTTAAAGCAAGGGCAAAGGGAATAAGGAGTGATCATAATTTATTTAGACCTCTCAAGATCCTATTATTAATTCTCCTCTCTAGCTCCTTCTAATTTCCCTGTAAACAAGCTATGAGAATTAGGAGTTAGATCAAGATAAAAACTACTTGATGAGATTGAGTATTCTCATTACCTGATAGGGTATAGATATTGTTGGAAGATGTTACATTTTAATCTCTTCTGGGAGTTCAAGGGTTCATTTTATGAAGCAGTAGTTTGTTTTCTCAAAATCAACAGTTTAAATCAGAAACGCTACATGCATGAGAACTAGATGTACAGTTTCAGAGTGAGAGCATAAGATTGAAATTGTTTGAATCTCCTGCTCAATGTGTGAGACTTGAGAACTCTGCATATAACTTCATTCTAATGACCATTTATCATCTTACATGTAAGTCACCGACTGGCTTCATGGAGCCCTGATCAAAGATCAGTACAAAATAATAAAAAAGGATATTTCTACAGTGCAACCGTGCCAAGTAAAAATAGCAACATTTGATCCAGCTTTGAAAGTGAACTTCTTGTTCCTCACCAGCTCAGTTCCAAACACCTCACCTTGACCTTGTAGCAACTACATTACATAAAGGAAAAGAAAACTGCGCTTTATACATGCACTGAATAAAAAGTGGAGCTACACCACCCTGCATACTTTTTGGGTTCTTTCTTTCAGTAAGCATTTTATGGTAAAAGCTCTATGTAAAAACAATAGCCTTCATTTGGCATGAAAAAAGGTGGGTATTTCCACATATTTTCATGCCAAATGGAGGCTGGTGTGTTTTTTATCCTTCGAATTTTTTTCGATGTGTGGCACCATAGCTTTATCAGATTATCTGTCGAGTAGATATCCTCTATCCAAATAAGCCATTCTTAACACTATTATTTCATGATTTTAAAAGAAACCATAAGACTGTTTCATTTTATGTATACATTTACTGTTGCATTGCTTACCACAACTTCTGCTTTTCCTTTTCCCTCAGGGATTTCAATTCGCAGTTCTGAGTCTTTTTCAAGCTTCCATTGTTGTCTTTCTTCAGGCTAAAGCAACAATGTTATTGGTTCATATCAGCTCACCAACACATACAGTGGTTCAATTTAGGTTTCAACACAGGGATAACAATTGAATATGTAGTTAGTTTCCATGTGAGGGTAGTCCTAAGAAGGACAGTTGTCAGTGGTAGTGACATGCCTTGGTTCATGTGCATGGCTATAGACCCACAGAACATACAGCTGCAGTGGTTCTAGAGGAGGGGCACAGGGGACCCAGGCTCCCCCCTTTTTTGGGGTAAAAAAATTAAAGCAGAAGGAAAAAAAGCCAGGAGGGTGTACACCCACACACATAAAAAAAAAAAAACGTCCCCCCCCCTCCATCCCCGCTTAGCTGAAGGTCTGGATCCACCACTGAGCTTTCAAGGATAGCTATCTACCTATGTGCCATTCTATCTGACATTGGGATTATTAGGCCATATGAAAATGCAATAACTTATTCATAATATATAACATCTTATCTAAATAAGATCTCATCTTTTCTAATGTTCTACTAGTGCCTTGTTTTCAATGATATGTCAGGAAATCCCAAACAGTTGGCGATTATTTCAGTGTTTCTGGACTGACCCTGAATTTTTTGACGAATGAAAACTCGAAATCGTCGAAATCACTCACTGTCTGAGCTGGTCAACAACAAATCGGGATAATCGAGAACGTTTCTATTTTCCCAACGCATCCTAGTTTCCATTCCTTCAGTCGTCTAGCTTCCGTACCACGAGTCACAAATAAAATGAGCGGGCGGAAGAAGAATCTGGGAAAGATATCTATCGATCTCTTTATATATAGACAAAACCTGGGACGGTTCAGGAACAGTGAAATCGCTGACCGTCTGGGATTTTCCCAACATATGAAACCAGGCTTCACCAAACACGTGCATAGATCCATCGCTCGTGCTTCAGATTAGCTTCACGTTTTGACATAAAACTCGATCTACACTCACTGGGCCGTTCTCTTGTTCTGTTTCCATTTCATCCAAGGATTAATATCCTGAGATAATTCAAAGTTGATCTCGTGAGTCCATATCGACGATTAAAGGTAAAGCTGTGAGTAAAAACACTGTAACATCAAGTCAATCACAAAATGTCCGCCATCTTTGAAATTTTCTTACTTCCCAGTCTCTCTCCGAATTCATTGAATTCTTGAAGACGAGGCTGCGGCCATCCGCGTCTGTGGCGGGAAAGTTGTGTTTATCAACGTGTGACAAGTCGACAAGTCATGAAGCAATTTTTCAAGGTTGACTATATGTTCATTTTGTGCAAGCTCGTCGCCTTTTCCTTTCGCTCTGTTTGGACTTTAAAAGAAATCTACCGTTATTTAATCGACTGTAAGGTAAGGCATAAAGTAAGCTCGTGTAAAGAGTAATTTTTTACCTAATACTCGTGAAATTGTAAGCAAGTATCGCTTTTGTATCCTCCTATGCAATCATCTTGCCATGTGTTGATGAATTACTACTCTTTGAAACCGTTGATTTAAACTTAAAACCAAAGCTTATATATCGAAAATTTTTTAAGCTGTTTTGTTTCGTCAATGCAAGGAAAGGAACCTTTTATATCATTTCATTATTCCGAAATTTTGACATAAGGACAATTACAACTCGTAAAAGTAGCAATTTTCTACTTGTTGCGTTTTATTTGGCTTACTGAAGAAACGTCTGAAGGGGTTCTTTGCAATTACTTTTTTTTTTTCTAAAGTAATAAACAGGAAAGTACCTTCACAAATAAAGGGCAAATAAAAATGAAGGATACGTCACAAGTATAGCAGTTCTATATATCTGCTACATGCTTACCAACCTCCATGGACTTACAAGCTGTCTTCAATTATACCCATGCATGTACATTAAATGTGTAAATTTGTGTGCCTTTTTGTTAGTTTTAATTTTTTTTTTTTCCAGACTAGCTCGGAATCTTTCAAAAATCAGGATTTTTAAATTTGAATTATATTCCTTTGAAGTTTCTTTTAAATAAATAAATAAATAAAACAGTTTCAAATTAAGAGAGAATTATTAAGAAAGTAGGAAACTTAAATTTTTTTTCCTTTTTCTCTACCTCTTTTGAACTTTGAACTTTATTAATTTCGTTGCACTTACAAAATAACATCAGCAACTGGGGAAGAAAACAGGACCCTGTCCCAATTGATATTCAGCCCAAATAAATAATTTACAACATAGTAATAATAATTGTAATTGTAGAAGTATGGGAATAAAAAATAATGATTATCATTGATATTATTTACAATCAAGTTAAAAAGTAACGTCATTAACTTACACCCTCACGATTTGGAAGTTTATAAGAAAGGGATTAAGGTGGCTCGTACCGGTTTTCGTCTTTTTGATGGTTTGTAACTTTGAAAGAATACAACAGAAAGACTGACCAAGGCCAGTTGAACACTTTTACGGGGCTGAATTATATAATCATTGGTTATCTAGAAATAGGTGTAATTTCGTCACTAGCAGTTTCCATGGCAATGCTATCATAGGCTTATGCAGACGCATTTTTTAGCTTGTGGCTTGAATAATTCGAAAACTAACCCGGTGACCCCATGATTTTTTTCAGTGATTGCTTTTGGCACTTGAAAAAGAAAATGCACAAAGATTTTTAAAAATTCTACGGAGCGGAATTTCAGAAAATCTAGAAAAAAGGCAATTTTCAGACATCACAAATTTCCTTCCATAGAATTTTCTAGTTTTTTTTCTGATGATTCCTTTCGACGTTATTATCATATTGGAACAATAAAAAGAAGGGGTCACCGGACTTGTTTTCATGCAATAGCTTTCATGAGTTTAGCAATTTCCACGCGCGTTCTCGCACATTTAAAAATCTGGATTCTATAAGATCGACATTTGCTCATGATCTGTTATAGCTACCGCTGACAATTGCGTGTGCTGGCGCACGCGACTACGATCTGATGTTTACAGAGTTTACAGACATTTACTGCTAATTAAGAAAACCATTAAACAGGTGTCAAAGACAGCCTCCCGGGCTCATCTTAAAAATCCTACACATGACTTCTGGCTATATCATATTATTTTCCTTTAAGTTTCAAGGTCTTCTTCCACTTCAGGTAGATTATCCTTCACTTGAGTTCTTCTTTTTGGCCGTCGCAAGATTTCATATCGGTTGAATATTTCTTTTAAATGTGAAGTGAAGCAACCTTTACTTCTCCGAAAATCGTCTTCTTTATCTTAGTTTCTATCTCCTGCATTCACAGTAGCCGCTCAACACATCAAACACAAGCTCTTAGGTAAACTTCTCACAAAAGTAGAAAAAATTCCTCGCGCCGCCATCTTTGTTTTGAATTTTCATCTTTTGATCATGCGCTTCTTTCGCACGTTTCTCTTGCCCGTGTCACGCAAGAGTGACCTGTTCCCTGCGTGAGGAAACTGGTACAAGCCACCTTAATCAGCATAAAAATCTAATAGCCTCCTTTTAAAAGTATGAAGTGAGTTCACACTCTTAATATCCCTTGGTAGTTTGTTCTAAAAATTGATGGACCTGTAATAAAACGAATGTTTTAGATAATTTTGTTTTGCGTGTGGTATTTGGTAGTTTAATTCACTTGAATTACGCGTTTTCTGCCAAACTACAGTTTGACGGAAAAAAGTCTTGGTGACCCAGATCAGTGTAACCTGCTCTAGCGTTATAGATCAGTACCAAGTCTTTCATTTCCCTTCTATATTCTAGTGGTAGTAAAGAAAGTTTTAACAGCCGATCCCTATAGGAGAGATCTCTTGCATAATTCAAGATAAACTTTGTGGCCCTGCGCTGAACATTTTCTAGTAATAGTGTGTCCTTTGACGTGTAGGGTGACCATAGTTCACAAGCGTACTCTAGTTGTGGTCGAACAATTGAGCAGTATAGAAGTTTCTTGATGTCGGGATCATTGATATCTCTACAGACCCTACGAATAAGGCCAAGCGTTCTATTTGCTTTAGAGGAGATCAGTTTTATATGTTGAGACCATTGGAGAGAGTTTATAACTTTTATAACCTTTTATTTTTTTACAATATCTTGTTGATAAAATTTTACAATACTCAGAGAATTAAAGACATTTATGAGTAGATAGAACAGAAAAGCTGCTAAAATTACTTATTAATATGAATTTACTTAATAAATCAATTATATATATATATTTTATTTATTACTAAAAAACAAAAAATAATACTTTTTCGGAATATTTGTTAAAATGTCTCAAGGAATTTACCAAGGACTCATAACACAGGAATTAAAAACAAAAATGTGTTCTTTGAAGAATCTGTTAAGTTTTTTCTCTGTTTTATCGCTATTATTTTCCCAGGCTCTACTTTTTCAATTTTATGTTTCCCTTGTTGTACATCACTCAGGATCTTAGCAAGAGCCTTTTTTTATCTCTCCCTCTAATTTTCTCCTAGGACTATTGGAAAGTGGCTTATAATTTCCCCTTAAGCTGGACACTTGGCTCTAATAATGCTTCAACTGAGTCCTGTTCACACCTTGAACACCTTCTTCCGACTTGGCATTAATTGTGTGGTTCAAGCTATTAACAAAGTTCATGTGTTTGGAGAGAAATTCATCAGTGAGGTAGCCCTTGTGGCAACAACAAAATGGAAGCTGATCTTGTTCATTTTCACAACAATGTATGTTTTCTTCAAACTGCTACAAAAGACATGTAAGTGGCTGCTAAGAGAAGTTACTGCTTCAGTCTACTTCACTGGAGTGGAGGCAACTTTATGACCAAATTTTAGTATTATTTTTATATTAGGACCTCAGCAACTTTCTTTTACATCTGATAAACATTTGGACATGCAGATTGTATTGAAGAAGCTAAGCTTGTCAACTGTCACCACAACTATTACCAGTTAAATAATAATAATAATAATAATAATAATAATAATAGAATATTTATCCAGGATAGCCCTTCAGTACCAAGTACTGTTATCAACGGGGTCCTGCAAAAATCAATTCTGTTACCATTTAAGACAAAATGCTATATATTATGGTGACAGGCATTAAATTATTCACTCTTTGCACAACATAATTTGTGACTATTAACAGTTTGCAGAGTACTTTTTCAAACATTTGAGAAAAAAATTGTCAGTTAGAGGTAAAGTTAAGTGTTTAAGCATGGTATGGTACTGCTATGAATAGTACCTGTACAATTCTAAGATTGGCTTAGAAGAGGAAACCTTTTTCCATTGGTTACTAGATGGACCATCAGTTATTCAAACCTGTTCCCACCTGGCACTTGTTTGTATACCTTAGGATGAAATCTGGCTCTAGCTTTTTGATGACTATACAAATGTAAGATTTCTTTTAGTTTAGTTGGTGAAACAAGGCCAATGAACATAAAAATTTGTCTCTAAACAAATGTTCCATATAATATTAATGATATTTTTAGGTGAGGAGATCAAGACTGCTGAAGAAGCAATCCTTATCACAAAATTATTTCAAATGATCAAGGTTTGAATATCCAATTCTATTGACCATTTACACCATCATATTTATGATCACATTTTTACATGTTTGCAGTAAAAGAAAATTACAAGGTGTAAATACCTTTTAAAAAAATTTCTTTTAAATGATTTATTAACACATTTAATTCTTCTCTATAGAGACGTGTTGCTGATTAAGAATCATGATCATTTTTCTGTCATAGAACACACATAAGCCTGGAGTTGCTACAGATGTTATATCACTCATAGAAAAGCACAAGATTGATGTGAACAGGAAACACCCTAAATCAGAATGTGGCCTAACTTTGTTTCTGGTCAGTGCATTGATTGCAGCTAAGGGTGTTGGGCTCAAAACAGTTGCATTACTGCTTGCTGCTGAAAAACAATTTCTAGTGTAAAAAATCTAGGGCATTATCATTAATTAAAAAAAAAACCATTTACAAAGTTAGATTGTATCATGTTTGAAAAGTGGTTGCCACAGAAACAGCGAGAAACTTGACAGACCCTAATATAGTTTCAGTCTTCTCAAGCTAATATTTTGAAGCTTTTCTCCAAATATGCTCCCTTTGGCATAATTGTGTGCACAGTCATTACTTCTGATTAATTAAGGATTTTAACTTATTTTGAAGAAAATTGTCTGTGATGCTTAGGCTTAGAGCTTTTTTTGAAACCATAGAAACTCTGAATCTTGTAGGAACTTATATTTAAAAAAAATACTAAGCCTAAGGAAGAATTACATATTAAACATGTCATAAATAAACAAGTGAAAGACAAAAATCTGAAGTTATGTCGAGTTACTGTCTTGGCAAATACATCTAAAAAAGGGCTTGTTCTGAGAACTGATGCAATTAATCTTTTAGTGATACTGTCTAATAGTTAACTACAAAATAATGTACTAAGTATGAGCTTGGAGAAATACTTGAAATATCAATTCAATTAAGAACTTACCATATCCTTATTTTGTGTCGGTAGTGTGCCTGTTTGAGTGGGGACAGTTGCCTTATTTTATACATGTTGAATAAAGGTGAGGAATTTAGCCCCTTTTGGAAGAATAGACAATTTTATTTCTCGTGTTCTTTGATCCATATCAAAACTCCCATTCTCCATCTGAATGTTCCTTGAATCAGGAGTAACCAGAAATCATTCAAGCATCCTAATTAAAGGGTGGATGAATTGAAAGGCAACCCCTTTTGATGAAATGGAAGTAGGAGCTGACACTGCTGTTTATTCTTGTTATATGGTAAAACACATTAACCATCACATTTTTCTAAGTTTTTCATTGATGGAGCATGGCATTTTTACAGGAGCCGATATAAATTCAAATACTTCATGTAAGGACAGTCCTCTTCATCTTGCAAGCTTTTGCTGTGGCACACAAAAGGTCACAAATGGTCTTGGAGTTATAACCTCCTTGTGTGAAGCAGGTGAAGTGTAGCTAAAGTAAACAATACACTGATCTCATATTGGTATATATTATGTCATTCTCCTCTATCCCATCCCAAGGGCCAAGGTTATTTTGTCCAATAGATCAGTTACTGGCTCCGATTTCTGGATCAGACCAGACTTGCAGACGAGAAAACTCAACAGGTTTCCATTCAAAATAAGAAAAAAGAAAAATTCCAGGAAATAACTGACAACCCCCACCTCTTCATGCATGCAGTTTTAAGATAAACTTAAAAACTTTAGACAGAAAATTCCTGTATAATATTTGTAAATGAATTGAGGTTTTATTAGGTTTGGTTTTATTAGATTTGAGTTCTTTATTCTGGTTATCTTGATTCAGCTGTGGGGATTTCCAGCTGGGGTGTCTGATAAGTAAAATTTTAGTCAGTTTTGGCAAGCACCGTCCCAGGAACTCTTTCATCATTGGCCGTGCCAAATGACTCAATACTCATCATCTGTGTCAATTTTGCTTTCCAGGGTGTAACATTAATTCTCGGAACTGGGTTGGTAATACTCCTCTGACTATCGCTGCATCCTCCGGCAATTGTAACCTCGTGCGACACCTGATATCTTTAGGTATGGCTATAGTTTTCAAACTAGGTAGGACCAAAAAAAATTAAAAGAATAAAACAGAAAAGTGAGTTAATAAGCGTTATGCAAAATAGAAAGTGAGAAGGAAAAACTTTTTCACCGCTTCCCAAGGAAAACTTTTTCTTCCTCTCCTCTTTCCGTATCATTTTTCTACACGCGCACGTCAACAAGAACCTCGCAGCTTTTTGTACAAGTTTTGTCGAGTTCTCGGCTTAGGGAGGCTTTCAATACACTGATGTGTGTCAAATTTTCGAAACTCATGTCTGAATTACAACAGAAATATGTTTTTTTTTTTCTGGAACTCGATTTGAATTACGCTTAAATCGCTACGTGACAACGTGAAGATCGAGCAGCAGTCTCTTTCCAACCTTTTCTGGCGCATGCGAAACGTTTCACTTATTGATGCGAATAGCAATTATTTTCTTTGGAATTATTAGGTGCAGATAAGAATCTTTGTAGCAACGACGGAATCTACCCCATGGACTTTGCAATAAATAATGGTAAGTCCCTGGTCTTGTGTGATTCCAGATATTATTCGACATCATATTAAGTGGCATGGATTGCCTATACTCTATTGGTTTGTGGTTAAAAACGTACGTTCAATGGAGCGCTTTTACCGCGTCCGGAATTTGTTTAAACTAGTAGACTAGTTTGTTTTAGTCCTCATCGCGGATCGTAGGAAAGACAAGTTTATATTTCAAACACGATCAGGTGTTATCACAAAGCTAATTGTAGTCGTAATCGGTTTACATTGAAATAACGAAAAAATGTCCGGAAAGCAGATATAGCACTGAATATGTAATCTGCATTAGGCTGACCGCTGATGTTTTGATTTTTTATCTCTCTGTTTGTAGTCTCTTTTAACTGTATTTACTTTGTCATCGTGTGACCTTTTGGTATTATTATTATTCCGTTCTTACTTTTGTTTGGTGGTTTCCTTATTCAACATAACGTGTAACTTCAGTAGATTCAGTTGTTCAGCACGCCACTAAAGGATATCGAGAGTATCTCTTTAGTCAACACACTGTTTATTACTTCAAAGAGTTCACAGTTGTAACTTTGTCAATTTAATCTTGATAAATTTGTCTTCCCTCTGGGCAGGTCATCTTGATGCGGCAAATTTGCTGGCTATTGCCGTTCCAAATCCTCATGTCTGGGACATCGTCGAACCCCATACTCCCCCTCGAGTCAAGCTTGGTCTTCAGAGTCCTTGCAAGCAACATCTGATGAATTCTTCGTTTCGAAAGAGTTGCATGGACTTCACTAGGAAGGGAAAAAATACTGCACTGAGCATTATAAGTTGTTAAAAGTTTAGTGAGAGGTTAACCAACATTGCTGCATCGTTCTTACACTAATCTCAGCGTGGAAACATAAGCCACAAAGCTTGCAAAAATAGTCACGTTTTTCGGCAATTTGTTTCTTTATCTCATCTTGAAGATGGATTAATACTTTTTACTGGAATGTGTTCGATACTTGATAGCTCGTAATGTTTTTAAGTCATTGTAATGGTAATTTTAGCAAATTTTGCAGTGAATTTTGTAGTTGGGCGTGTTTTCCTTCCGTTTTGGCACAACCACTTGAAGAGATTTTCTTCCAAGATGCTCAACGTCAGTCAGGCGAGGAAAAAACCGTATTCGCTCTTTCGAAATACTTTTTACGGCGCAGACTGTCCTTTCCTTTTTTTTGTTTTCTTGTTAGCCCCAAAAAAGGGATAGGCATGTGCTCGAAATCCTAACCGAATCAATATAGGCTCCTCTCTGGTCAACGCCTAGCACTATGATGCACGATCCTCGCAGTAGAGAGCTCCATTTATGCAATAGCGAAAATCAGACCTGAAAAAAGTCAGGCCTGTACGGGATTCGAACCACTGACCTTTGCGATACTAGTGCAGCGCTCTGCCAATTGAGCTAACAAGCCAACTGGGAACAGACCGTTAAGTTGATTCGTAATAAACCCGTATCATCTTCGTAATAAACCCGTATCATATTATCATCACGGATTTATTCTACTGCGAGGATCGTGCATCATACGTATCTAATACCGCAGTTCAAAATATATGAACTTCATATATACATTGTATCTAATATTCGAAGAGTCGAAATTGAGGCTACCTGTCGTAGCTTTTGTCTTTTTTCTTTGTTTTAAAGTTACCTTCTATTTTCCAGTATTTTTGTGGATTATAACACCTACTCGTGTCATTTGAAATTATTGTATTTCTCTCAAAGCGAACGACTCATTGGTATTGGCTTCAACCATACACCTGGATTCTTTACCATTTTCCCGTCGGATTACCTAATCTTAAACCTTTTTGTCGCCGTCCGATTTAGTTATTGTAATCCTGACAAGTATTATACATATCGAGCATAGTTCGTGATCTTTAGACCTCGACATTTGCTTCAAAAGGCGAAGAGCAACGAGAAACCTCGACAAAGTACAGAAATTTCATAATTCTTTCAAATTAGTGTATGTAGGCGTTCTGCCGCGGTTCAAGAAAAGCGAGCCGGAAACTGTTTGGAGTTCATTTTATTGTTTGAAGTTCGTAGAAATGTGGTGACTCCTATTTGAAATTTCAACTGTTTTTACGAAAAAAATCTGTAAGAAGACCTAGACACTTTCTGATGATTCGTTGGTCAGCTCCGCGGCAAACCGTTTGTAGATCCTGCAATTCTCGTTAATTTACAGACAAAAACAAAGAACTTCCTGTCGCGTCTTTCTTATTTTTTCCTTATAAGCTCGTTTGATTCTAAAGAAAGTAAACATGTTCCTCTACACGATTAAGTCAACTTAATTATTATATTAAGTTCGAATTTCACGATACAACGCATTATGTAGTTCTTTTGAACTCTTTCGGTAAGAAAAGTTTTTTCGTTTTTAAATAGAATTGAGGTTTGAGACACGCAGTTCGACCGCAGAATGACATTTAGAAGTCATCGACAAATATTCCTTACAGCAAATACGAGCAGTTCCGCTTGTGCGGACAGCGTGTGTTTTTATGTAAATTGTGATGACTCGATTATGCGTGTCTGTTACTTAAAAGAGAATCGCTTTTATGGGATAAGCGTATTTGATTGGTCGGACGGTGGTCCGTTTTAGAAGGTCATTGAAAACTTTTTGATTGATTAGTATATGTGAGAACACCAAAGTAACCTCAAAGCCTCCTACGGAATCCTTGCATCAGTGCGCATCTGCATAAATGAAGTAATAACTGAACACTCAACATAGACGGACTCACTCCTGGCATTCCTTTAGTGTTTCTTGAATTCTTCTAACATTGAGGTCATGGAGGAAAAATCTTTTTTTGTAATTCTGCTCGTCGATTTCGCCTTGGTGGTTAACTGGCAAGGTAAGCTGTTTCACGTCCTATTATGAATGTTAATCAGCTTTCACTTTACTACATTTATATCGATTTCTGGTGACAATCCAGTCATAGCCTCAGTAAATTTGCCTGGTAGACGCCTTAAATGTTTCTTTCCTCTAGTATTTCGGGTCGTTTCTTCCAGATAGCGCTTATTAATGATAAAATTTAGAAGTCATCATAGAGGGCAATTGCGCGTGACATGAATTAGAAATGTTTACAGTGGGACTCTAAATAAAAGTGCGAGTTCGTAGTCTAAGGGTTGACAAGTGATCTAAAGGCTTACATGTAAAGAAAGTTCCAAAATCATTTCCTATTTAGTTTTCAACTATCTTTCTTGATATCACCACAAGGAAAGTTATGCCCCAGCTCGCCTGCTCTCGATTGCTTCAGAGCAGCTAACAATCGAAATGAAGTAGTGGCAATGAATTCATTTGATAAATTTGCAGTCAAGGTTTTTATCGTGAGTGAACATATGTTTGCGTTGCGTTGATATCGACCGCAAGTTTTGTTGAGTTGAGCGGCACGTTTTTGACACTTATATTTAAAATACCGGGAGACGAACTTTTTCACATGCTATATCCTTCGCTGACACTAACGTCGATCTTGTCTTGTTTATCTGTTATCAGGTGGTCAAGCACAACTCATTGGTAAGTTACTCATTTCGGGTAGTAAGGCAACCCTTAACTGGCATTTATAACATTTATCTGTGCTGAGGATAGGAAGCAATGAAAGCCGGATGTGTCAATGAGGTGTAAGATCAAATTTGAAAGAGGTGTCAATAAGAAAGTGGACTTGAAACTAAAAAGCATCATCATGTCTGTGGCGGAAGCATGATGTATTTTGCGTGATGATGTCTACTGATTGACATGTTTGATATGCACTTTAGATTGTAAGGTAGGCCTATTTTCGTTCATTGAGGTCGAGGTATTCTGTAAATTCCCAGCCTGCTCCTTCAGATCGAAAATAGAGAGGGGGCGCCCCCAGTGTAAAGGAGTTATATGTCTTGCGCTAGATTGAAGAGGAATTTGTTGTCTTCTCCTGGGATACAGTGTAGAGTTTGTATTTTTTCAAGCAGGCAAGCGAACCTCTTGGAATACGAGGAGAAATACTAGTCTTGCAGCGCTACCTAAATCACAGGTGCACCCTTCTGAAATACTCGTCAAATATTATAATGGAACACTTCTAAGTCGGTTACTCCTTTGTAACCTATACTGTTTTCACTTGTCTGTCAGGTCGCTCAATCCTCTCGCTCATCGTGACGTTCAATATGCATCGTCAATATAATTAATAACCCCCTCAAATCTCCATTTAAAAACTGTTTTGGATTTAAGTCCATAAATGGCACAGTGAGAGGCCTGCACACAAGTCAATTAGGATATTTGCTCAGCTCATTGTAACAATACAAGTCAAATGTCGCGTGTGAATTTTCAAGCTAAAAGATAATCTTAAAACGGAACTTGCAGCGCAGAATGTTGCTGATTTTATTAATCGAAACCTGAGTGTTCGGTCGATCAGAAAGATAACTCGCTCAGTGGGGGTATCTTAGAAGTGCAAAATTCTCAGTTAAAGAGTTGCGCAAACAAGCTAATCTAGGCTTTCTTAATTAAGTAACAAAAAGCCGTTATCGATGTCTTAATTCTTAGGTGATATGTGCTTAGGTGTAACTCTTCTAGGAGGCCACCCAGTGCATTCTGTTCCATTATTCTTTTTTGTTTTGTCTCAATGGTCGCGGGCTTAATTTTTACCAAGAACACTGTACATAGCATTGCTTACAAATTTTTGTCCACGATAAGAGCTAAAATGTCTTGGGAAATATGAGTGCGTGTGGTTAAAGGCAAATTTGTAGCCAGAGTTGAAATAGGTGTTACCGCACCTTGCCTAAAAAGGACTTGCAAATTCTTTTCAAATTGCATTCGACTAATATAATTGTGAACTTGGATTAAGGTCGCACGTTTGATGCATTATTTAACAGGTATCGCGAGAATAATACAATGCAATCAATTTTCTTAATTCCTAATTACATTGTTTTTATTACCCTCACTTTTGTCCTTTTGAACCCCCAACTGCTTTGGACGAAGATTGTTTATTTTAATGAGAGTGGGTTTGTGTATTGATAAGTTGATAATTTTCTCTATTTTGTCTTGATCTCATTTGCTTCTTCTTTGTTCAGATCAAATCAGTTTTGTATCTTAATTGTTACGACAAAGGTTATTCATTGTTTTACATCAAAAATTGCAAAAGGTAAATGATGATAAGTATGAAAAAAATATTATTCGGCACGTACAAAGATTGGAACTAAACCGATCGGCTTTTACTGATTTCTTTCAGATGACTGTGGCGGACTTATGGAAGGAAGAGGTAATACCATACAGACACCAAATTACCCTCTCAACTACCCAGTGGATAAAGCTTGCGCTTGGGTTGTTAAAACTCAACCGGGTGACAAAGTCGTGCTCACTTTTGAAACGTTTGCCCTTGAAGACAACTCTGTTTGCCAATACGATTACGTTATTATAAGAGATGGTTCAACCTCCAAAAGCCCGATGATTGGGAAGTTTTGCGGCACAAGCAGACCAGCCACCATTACCTCTACACACAATTTCCTTTGGATCGGTTTCCGATCGGATTCGTCCACTACCAAGCAGGGCTTCAAAGCGGTGTGGAAAGCATCAACCGAAGAACCACCTCCTAGAAGTATGTTGATTCACCCGTTTTACTCAATGAAAGTTTTTGTAAACTGCCGCAACGCGCTGATTGTAGATTTTTTGCGCAAAACCATAAAAAAGATATACCTCCACTGGCTCAGCGAGGTTTAATCGTGGTCACTACAGAAAAGTCCCTACGGTCCCTTTGTACCTTGTGTTATCGGCTCTTGCACGGTTATACCAGTCTACCTGGACCGATGGTGATTTCATGTCCTTCCTGAGGAATGTTTTGGTTAATTGTCCCTCTTATTTCACTATCAAGTCTCGTGAACATGTAGAGAAAGCGAGCCAAATTATGAGGCCTATATGGAAGCTCGCTGGTACGAGGCACCTACCTATATGGAAAGAGTGCATACGAATGCATTTTTTACTTCTTGATTTTGTTACATACTATTTAAGGACTGGTGTTAAGGATGCTTTTCTTCTATTGTGGTAGCTAATCTGCGTTACATGAAAGTGCCCCTTTAGTAATTTAGTCTTTAATTTCTCGACAGGATGCGGTGGCCAAATGACTGGTGATGGTGGGAATTTTACATCACCAAACTATCCTGGATCGTATTCTAAGAACAGCGAGTGTATGTGGACAATAGTTGTGCCTCCCTTAGACACGATTGAGCTAACTTTTCACGAATTTCATTTAGAAAATTCCGGCAGTTGTAACTATGACTTTGTCGAAGTTCGACAAGGTAGCACTGGCTTTTCTCAAATAATCGGAAAATTCTGCTCAAGTACGATCATTTCACCTTTCAATTCAACTGGAAATTCCCTTTTTATAAGACTTGTCACAGATGGAACAGTCAATGAGAAAGGATTCAGGGCTACATGGAGAAGGATACCTCATTACATTTCTACAACGCCAACGGCTCAGCCGTCCACAACCACCAAAGCTACACCTTCAAATACACCACCTGAAAGTAAGCAATGTTGTCAGTTACTTTCTAAAATTTGCTCTAGGGAGTAGTCAACCATGATGAAAAACTTGTCATTTTAATGGAGTAAACCATTTCTGCGTCTTAACATTCATTTTTCCCCTTTTCCCTTATTCATGTTTTTTTTTTTTGTTTTTTTTTTTTTGCTGAGATTCCATTCGTTAAACCCTCTTCCTTGCTCTCTCTCCTGCTTTCTTTTCATATTTATTTGTTTATATTGTACGTACGTTATTAAGTAATTTCTTTTCATCCACAGAGTGCGGAGGAATTTTGAAGCAAGAAAACGGTGAAATAACTAGTCCAGGTTATCCCAACCAATATCCACTAAACCTAGATTGCATTTGGGTAATTTTGGCCCCAAGTAACCAGGTGATCCTGGTGGAATTCAGATCATTTGAGCTCGAAAGACAATCCAGATGCCTCTATGACTATTTGGACGTCAGGGATGGCGATAGAGCAGGCATGCCTTTGCTTGGGAGATTCTGTGGAGATGTAGTTCCTTCTCCTGTCAAATCTTCTCAAAACGCGATCTACATAAAGTTTCACTCGGATGGGTTAACTCCAAAAGGTGGATTTGAGCTTAAATGGCACGCTTTTAAAGGACAGCTGCCACAACCCGGGCCAACGCAGACGTCAGATGGGGACCAGGGTAAGTAGAATCGATCAAACGATGGGTATTTTTAACTATACATATTCAATAAAATTCCTGAAAATCATTGTTATTCTTTGGAAACAATCAATCAATTATTGAATTGATGTTTGCGATAAGCTGGTTAAAATATTTTAGCCACTGAGACAATTTTTTTTTTTACCTTTGTTACTCTAGCAGTTTGTGGTGGTACTTTCACTAAAATGTATGGTGTTATACAGAGCCCTCGCTATCCCGAAAAATATCCAAAGGATGTTATGTGTCAATGGGTCATAAAACTATCACCACGGTACAGAATACGCTTAGAATTCATGTACTTGCAAGTGGAGAAGAGCACAAGCTGCCAGTATGATTTTGTGCTCGTTATGGATGGCCTCCCGACTTCTCCGACTACACTAGGGAGATTTTGTGGCAACTCAAGCAAGCCGGTGGTAGACTCTATATCCAATGAAATGACCGTTTTTTTCAAGTCTGATTTGAGCATGACAGACAAAGGATTTCAAGCGTACTGGTATACGCAGCCAGCTCTGAGCACTAAATCTCCATCAACCGAAATAAATGGTAAGTTTGATTTATTTTTGTGAATATTTCGAAGTTTTACTCAGCGAAACCGTTGTCTACTTCTTTTTTGATTTATTTTTATTGTTGTCACTGTAAGTTATTCTTCACGAGCACGAAGGGAATGAAAAGGGAAAGTATGACGAAAATATTGTGTCAACTACTTGTCTCACCAAGGAATTATCTTGATCAGTATTTGTTGCGGCTATCATGGACTGGCCGAATATCAGATGATTGAAAAACATTCACGTGATTTCATTGTAAAGATTTAACGGCTTTGTTAATCATCTTTTTCTTTATTAAGAGTCGTGTGGTGGAAAACACAAGCGTCAAAGTGGTGATATCTTTTCACCTTACTACCCTGCTTTTTCTGGTGCCCAAGGGCCTGTTGACTGCATATGGGTTATATCTGTTTACGAAGGAAACAAAATTGCTATTGGTTTTAACGAATTTGATCTGAACAGTGATGATAACTGTGTTACGGAGTACGTGGAATTGAGGGACGGGCTATCAGAGAACTCTCGTCTGTTAGGACGCTATTGCAATTCTGCACCGATGGTGGTGCGAGGTTCTACGGATACATTATGGCTGCGTTATTACACAGTTGGAACGGGAAGTAAGGGTTTTGAAGCGACTTGGACTACTATGAAACAAACATTAAAACCGTTGAAACCTAGCGAGATGCATTCGACAGGAACTGTTCCTCATCCACCAAGTAAGTTCCACTCAGTGATATTCACAAAGGCGTTCTTATCTTGTTCCGGTCCCAATATTCCATCTTGTCTCATGGTTCATGGTTAAAAAACTGTTGCAATTTGTAGTAACTCGGAGATTATACAACGTTATTATTCTGAGTCCAATTCTGTTTTCTGTTTTTAGAAAAATGCGGCGATGCACTAGGTCTTGAAACCGGTGAAATCAAAGATAGACAACTTTCGGCATCCTCCATGTGGATGGGCGTCAGTACCTTTGGTCCTCAGCATGCAAGACTCAATAATAGTAAGTGGCCCCAGGGCTGGAGTGCTGATATCATTGACCAAAACCCATGGCTCAAAGTGACGTTTCAATCGGATTATGTGGTTACTGGCATTGCAACGCAAGGTTATGGTAATCCAGTTTTCAAGGAATGGATTGAGAGCTATTATTTGCTTTGGCTTGACAGCAAGGCCGGAGCGGTGTATTACCACGAAGGTGGAAAAGTGAAGGTAGGTGCATATTCCTCTACTAAACAGTGGGATATCGTCAAGAGATTTTAAAATGTAGTCTCCAGATATCTTAGAATTACCCTTTGCCGATGGAGGGTTTGTTTCATATTTTTACATACAGTTTACCACTCGTGATATGTATATACGAAAAGAAAATACCACTTTGCTTGAAGTACACAGCATCACTTCATACAGATTATGGCTCCACTAGTAATTTTGACCAAAAAAACCGGCTTGATTCGCGTGCCGAACAATCTATTAAAAATTCCTACGCACGTTTTTATTATTATTATTATTATTATAAACTTTTTTAAATTATTATTATTATTATTATTATTATTATTATTATTATTATTATTATTATTATTATAAGTGTCCTACTTCAAATCATTATTATACTTTTATTATTTTTTGTTTGTTTATTTGTTTCTCGCGAGCTAAATTACGGTTGGCTCATTCATTGAATGCATGGTTTATAATTTATTGTTTTGATTTGACCTTAACTGTAAGTTTGATATTTCAACAGAAGCCCTAGTGTCCTCAAGGTTTTGTACATGGCACCCTAATCATTGTCTTTTCAATGAATGTTTTAATGTTATTTGGCTCGCAGGTTTTAGATGGCAACAGTGATCACAACACGATTGTACGCCATATGCTGAAGGAGCCTTTTATTTCCAAAGAAGTAACAATCCGACCAAGAAGTTGGAAAGGTAGTGTGGGCTTGCGATTAGAGCTCTATGGATGTCAATTTGGTAAGCCATTTTTGTAACATTTATTAGAGACTTACGATTTCAATTGGAAGTACTACTTTTCATAGACGCTCATTATTTCTTCAAATTCACAACTAAGTTACTTTGTAAATAGAATAAGAAAGATGGTAGGTTTTGAGCTCGGTAAAGAAATAGAGAAAGATGTTTTCTGTCTTGTCACGAGCGGGGTACAAAGAAATATTCTGAGTCCCCATGATGAATGGAACCTCATTCCTTCGGATTCCGGGTTCCAATGCTCTACCACTGAGCTACATGGTGAGCAAGGCCCATTACGAAGTTCATCTGTGACACGCGTCCTACATACTGCTAGGATCGCAATGTCGATAACGTCATGTTTTTTAAATAGAATAGGATAATAAAAAAACATAGAATAAGTTAACCTTCATTATATTGAAAAGGAAAACCTCATAAACATTTACTTTCCACGCACATAAACATAC